AGAGAGAGAGAAAGAATGTGTGTGTGTGCGTGTGTGTATATTGATATATTCACTCAGCCTTTATTTTTAAAAAAGAATCTTCACTTAAGCATACATGTAGGGAGAATGATTCATATAAATCTTTTCTAAGTGCCAGAGTATAAAATAAAGAGAATCATGTACATGAACACTTCTGTATATCAAAATAAGGGTTAAGGGCAAAGTATAACACTAAATAAAACATGGAGTTTCTGGGTAAGAACTGTTTAAAAAATCCAGGTCATTTGAAATTGTCATTTTCTTATTCTCCTATCCAAACTGCAAAAACATTACTTGTTTAATGGAAGATTTTAAGAAAATGTATATTACTGTTAAAAGGTCTACTAAATAATAGTTTTTTAAAAAAATATTTTTGTATTGATTTCAGAGAGGAAGGGAGAGGGAGAGAGAGACACAAACATCAATGATGAGAGGGAATCATTGATTAGCTGCCCCCTGCACACCCTCTACTGGGGATTAAGCCTGCAACCCAGGACTGGAACCGAACCTGGGACCCTTCAGTCCACAGGCTAACACTCTACCCACGGAGCCAAACTGGCTAGGGCATAATAGTTAATTTTTCACTACAAGTTTCATGTCAACTTAAAACCACCAAAAGGATAAACATTACCATAAAATATAAGTTCTGAATTGTTCCTCTACTTACAGAAATTAATGTTCTAATAAAAAACTAAATTATATCTTCAGTATGCAATCTAGTAACTGGCACTAAGAATTATTATTTAGCTTTTGGAACTTCTAACACACATACTACAAAGACCAACTACACGCTTGCTAAAAATTAGCATTAATTGATGCTGGCTGCTGGATAAATAATAGAGATTCAAATGTTAAAAATAAACAGGGGAAGTCAGTCTAAGCTAATCAAAATTAAAACATAATTATAACAAAAAATGCAATTTCATTACTTTCAAATATCAAGACCAACATTTAATAAAATGTTGCCAAAAGTACAAATTTGCTGAAACTGTTTCAATAAGAATGCCTTGTAGCTGGCCAAAGGCCATATTTGCTTGTTTTTCCCTCTTTGTATTAGTTTTCACAATTCCCAAATAATTCCTTAACTCACCTCCATGCCAAAGAATACCCTTTTTTCCTGCTTTGGCAAAGTAATCACTGATCTCAATAATGAATTTATTGAAGGCTTAGATCTATCAATAACTTTTCAGCTGAAAGAGAAGTATTGTAGGAAAAAGCACAGTAATTTGAAATTGTTTTCATCATCACTCCTTCTTGATTTCTACAACTTGTGTTTCCTTTCATGCACTCACCATCTCAAATCTAACTAGAGGCCAAGACGGGTTTCAGTCTCCAGTGTTCTCATTCTTCCCTTTATTCACTCTATTTTATCACCCTTAATATTAATTTTTATAAACCACTGCTTTCATCAAGTAAATCTAGTTCACATGCTTGCAAAACTAAAGAGCATAGTTTGTAAATTTCAATACATTCCTTAACTGGTTCGAACCCTTAAATTGTTCAGTCTAAATTAATTTGAAAACATATATTCTTAAATGTATGGTTATAGAACAAGGAAGTCAAGTAAAAGTTTTGATCAAGTGTTACTTATTAAATATTTGTAACAGGTTAGGCATTTCATTTACAAAAATAAATTCAATATCAAATTATTTTATATTAAAATTGATTTTAAGGATAAAATATTTTTAAGGATAAAATCATTTTAATGTTACATTATCTTTACTTGGTAGTAAAACAGTCTAAAATAGCCCATAGCAAATTCCCATGGTTATAATAAACACATTTGACATCTACTTGTATTTACAGTGAGCTAGTAATATTGAAAAAAATATATAATATGGCTTAGGGTATACAGGGGTGGGTTTACAGTTATATGTGAAACACAGGAATTTATTCTTGCATTATTATTTATTAACTATTGTATTATTTTCCATATGAACAAATGTAAACCTACTTTTGCCAACCCTTTCTTTGAAAAATTTCAGAATAAAAATAAGTGATTTTCCTGCCTGTGCGGCAGCGCCAAGGACCCCTAGGCAGACATACTGCGAGCGGTCCCGGACTATGAGAGGGCACAGGCTGGGCTGAGGGACTCCCCATTCCCACCCCCACCCCCACCTGCCAAGTGCACGAATGTCGTGCACTAGGCCTCTAGCATTCACTATAAAATTCAACAAGAATAAAAGTCTGATGTCACAAGAAAACTTAATTTTTAGTTACCTCTGAAGTAAACTTTGCCCTTTCAAAATCTGTATAAGTTTTAATGCTTGCTCTTTTCCAACTCCAGGGACGCCCTTTCAGAAAGGGGGAAAGAAATTCAAATGTTAATCATTAGAAAATGAATAAAGTACATTAAGTCCATTCAAAAATAGATCATGCAGCTGAAAGAATATTGTAACTATATAATGATAGAAAAAGATGTGCAAAATACATTGCTGTGTGTAAGATGAAAACCACAGAATAGCCTATGGTGTGATCTAGATATGTAAGTGAAGTAACAATTATATTGTTAATCTATTCAAAGGAAGAAAGTCAGAGGATTACATACCAAACCACTCATAGTGTTTGTTTTAGGGGAAGAAAGAACAGAATTTTAGAGGGCAATAGCTTTCTTTGTTAATTATTTGGATTAATATTTTTATTTGAGCTAACTTTGTTATATTTATAATCAGGAAAAAGCATGTTCATTTAAGGATATGAAATTTAATATTTAAAGACCAGATGTCAAAAGAGAACAAAAAAGAGTTCTAAGTTAAGAAAATTAAAATAAGCTAATACCCATTAAGCATAAATTCACATGACAATTTCTGATATAAGTTGAGGCTTCCAGTAACTATACAAGTTTATGTTGGTTAGCCAATATACACTAGAATAGACATACCAGTTTTACAATACTCCTCAAGCATCCTGAGTGCCTGCTGGCAAACCCTCTAACCTGAATACCCTTCCCAACCCACCAGGATCCTGCTACTAAAATGGTAGCACATGGCACAACAGATGGCAACCACAAGCCTATGTCCTCAGCATACCAGTTGCCAAATATTTTGTGTATCACCCTCCTTGTATCGGCACTTAGCTACATCTTAAATTTTTTGAAGACAAATAATCCGATATAATAAAAGGCTAATATGCAAATCGACCGAACGGCAGAACAACCAGTCGCTATAACATGCACTGACCACTAGGGGCAGACGCTCAATGCAAGAGCTGTGCTCTGGTGGTCAGGGCGCTCCCACAGGGAGCCAGAAGCCAGACTCACGGCTGGCAAGTGCAGCGATAAGGACCCCTTGGGGAATATCTGACTGTCAGCAGGGAGCGGGCCTAAACCGGCAGGCGGACATCCCCCAAGGGGTCCTGGACTGTGAGAGGGTGCAGGGCAGGCTAAGGGACCCTCTTCCCCCTCAGTGCACAAATGTCGTGCACTGGGCCGCTAGTCCTCCTATATTATAAAAAGTCAATATGCAAATGGACCAAACAGCAGAACGACGGGTCGCTATGACGTGCACTGACCATGCAGGAGCTGCTCCCTAGTGGTCAGTGCACTCAGCCAGAAGTCCTGAGCCAGGCTCACCACTGGTGAGTGCAGCGGCAAGGGCAGGAAGGACCCCTCTAGTATTAGTATATAGTCTTAACAATCTTTAACTTTAAGAACAATATAAATAGATGGCAGTTTGGATTACAAAGAATACAAATGTTCAAAATAGCTAAGGCTATTGCATAATGTAACACCACTGTAGACAAAGTTGGTTTCTTATATTCAACATTGGACTGCTTCTAGTCTTTAAGCTTTAATAATTACATAAGGGAAATAAGAAATTTTCTATTTCAGAATTACAATTACAATAAAATAATTTTTTTGTGTGTTATTTAAAAGTTTCATTCTTCCTTCTTCCTTTACTTATAAGTTTAAGAAAAAGTTGATTTCACCATCTGGTCACTGATGACATAAATTAGAAATTAGAGTTAATAATTTGACTTCCCTGCTACTTTTTCCTATCTCCTAAGATCTGGCTAAAAAAAATTATATGTCCTCCTGCTCTAGATGTCTCTTGGGGATAGAGTATACAGTATAGTATAATGAGGGATTCGGTAAGAAGAGATAATAATGGGACAACATAATAAGAGCTATAATACAAGTAATTTTGTATTTAAATAGAGTATTTAAGAATGAGGTTATCCTCATAATTCTTAATCACTCACTTAATATACCTATTTGTTACGATATAAATTTATAAGATATAAATCAAAGGTTTTCTGAACAACATTGAATGTGGCACGAAAGGATGAATGGCTTATCCAATAATCATGTAGCCTAGCAACAATAATAATAACACCAAGCATCTGCACAGCTGGAAAGCTAAAGACTGAAAACCAAAAAATAGATAAAATAGTGATAGAAACTAACATTAGCATGACACAAGAAAAGAATAATTCCTTTATTTCTTTAAAAGGGTAGTTGAAACTTGAATGTGAATTCTTAAGCTAGAGTAATGGTTTATGAGATTCAAACTGTGATAATAATTATTATTCTATTCTTATTTAGAAGCTTCAGTGTCACAATGAACCAGCTTTTTAATGCCATTTGAAATGCTGATTATTTTAGTTATTGAATATTTTATTATGCCTAAAATTATACTCTAAATTAGATTCTTAATCATATAACAATACTGTATTAATATTTATAAAAATCATAAGGAATAAAAAAACCCCACACTATGAATAGTGAATTTCAGTGTACCTTTGGAAGATAATCACAGCCAAGCAGTACTGCCAGTCCAACTAGAGCATCTCTATCCAAACCTAGTTTACTCTTGATAGATGACGCTGTGTAACAGTCAACATGGGGGTCCTAAAAGAAAGCACAAATTTGTTTAATCTTCAAAATGTAAATGTTTATACATTAAACAGCATTACACAAATGTGTCAGAGGTGTCTCTAAATATTTAATTATTCCCAGATGTTTAAATAGGAAAATTATCCTAATAACCAGAATCTTCGTAGAATCTAACATTTTAATATCTGGAAATAAAGTCATAGTTTCAAAAATGGCTAAACATTTCAGTATTCATTTATTCCCTCTTTATTGCTTTCTGTATACAAAAGTAGATTTTCATCTTACAAAATTAAACACTTGACAATGTATATTACTGAAAGAAAACATTCCTTGTAATTGCAATTTCTAAAGTTAACATTATTAACAGTGTGGTACATATTCTTCCAAAATACCTTTTCTTTTACACACATATACAAATATTTGTTACTAAGCATATTTTAAGTAAAAACAGGATTATATAAAAGAAATATTTTGCAACATTTCTTACCCGCTAATATATCTATGTATCTTTAATATTAATACTACATACTGTTTTAATAACTGCTTACTCTTATATTATATCAATTCTGAAGCAGTGTTTCTCAATGGGGACACTATAAGCATTTTCAGACAGATAACAGAATTGTCTGGCAAGAGATTTAGCTTTCCTGGCTCCAATCCACCGAATGTCTATAGTCTCCCTTTCCCAACATTGAATAGTTACAACCAAAATGTCTCCTAGCAGTATCTCCCAGGCTGAGAACCATGGCTATATTTAACTATTCCCTCCCATAGACATTTGGGTTGCTTATCAAATTTTTGTAATTACTGACAATGCTGGAAATAATATCCTTGCATACCTCTCCATGCATATTTGGAGGTGTTTTTGAGGATACATTACTAAAAGTAGAAATTCGGGGTAAAAGCAATAAATTTCATATGCAATTTTATAATATACTTTTAAAAATAATTTAGAATTAAAGTATGTGAAACAAGTCAAACCCTTGGGAGAAAAATCTACATTTCAAAGAGAATGAACTATGTGGCAATGATATTTAATAACAGTAATAAGCATTTTTTCCATTTAATCATTTAGTAATCCCTTTAAAAATTTAGTTTGCAAAACAAATGCTGACAAAGAGAAGGAAAAAAATACCTTGGTATTCATAGTGAAATTCCTATAAACAGTCCGGGCCCCATAAAGGAAAGCATCCCCATCATTGGTGAGGCAGCCGTCCACATAACCACTGGCATCGAGGTAAGAGCACATGGCTTCTGCTTCCCCAGCAGCTTGGACCCAGGGAATTCCTAAGCATTCCAGCAATTCAAGACACTGAAAAGAAAAAGCAGATGCAAGAAATCTAAGAACATTGTTATTGCTAATTTTTTCCACTTACTTTCCTATATTACAAACTAGAGGCCTGATGCACAAAATTTGAGCAAGGGGCGCAGCCCTCGCAGCTGCAGTGGCTTGCCTCAGCCCTCATAGCCCTGACTTCATCCAGAAGGTCATCTGGAAGGCCCTGCAGGCCCGGTCACCTCCAACTTCCCTCCCCTACAGGCCCGGCCGCCCCCAACTTCCCTCCCCTGCAGGTCCGGTCACCCCCAACTGCACCCCCCCGCAGGCCCGGTCACCCCCAACTGCCCTCCCCTGCTAGAGCACGGGACATGTATTAATACGTTTTTTATAGACTAGAGGTAGAATCCAGGTAATGTATAAATACGTAAACTAAAGTTATCATAATTTTACTGAACGTTGCCATTTGGCAAAAAATTAGCAAAAATGGCCCACGCCACCTGTTAGCGCGCGATAAAAACTACCCGCAAAAAATGCGTTAACAGTGCTATTTACATGTCTTACAAGTTATGATACTTGCTTAATAGTATCTCAAGATTCTGGAAATATCTTTTAAATGATTAATAATTAATCACATTAATACTAACGTCTGTAAAATTACAAAAATTCTCACATGATGTTGGCAATGTAATATGAGGTGATTATACAATTTGGCTTGAGGCTTTAAAGTTCTCTTCTTTTCCTTATATCATCTCTTCCCTATAATGAAACAAATGGTGGGAAACCACAGAGGGGTCAGCTGTTGATGTGTTCCTAGGAAGTCAAATGTCTGTGCAGAATGTTCCTATCAGTTTGCGATGCATAAATAATCCCGAGTTTTCTTTGGATTATGAATTTAACCCAACTGAGCAGCATATAGTGTAGTCTTATATCCCAGTGTATTCTTTCTTGTCATGTATAATTCTCAAATTCTATTACTGGGGAATACTGGGTAAGGTGAAGAAACAAGGGCACTGTAGTTTGGAGAGACCGACAGAGTAAATATCTTCTCTTTTCCTTTAACTGATCAATTGCTTACATGCCATATTACATAAGAAAAACCTCTGCCAGATGTTGCCCAACGTGGACAAGGTCCAAAAATACAAAGTACTATGTCGATAAGAAGGGTACTTCTCAGAAGACAAGTTTTGTTACAGGTATTATTTTATGGCAACACTATAGTTGCTTCGACCTTCCTCTAGATAAGAAATATCCTTTCAGTATAAACAAGAGTTTGAAATTTATCTTAGATTCCAGTGCCATTTGTCATTTCAGCTCTTCAAAAACCAGCAGTAAATTTGTGATGAGGCTGGCTGTAAATTTTCCTACCCTAAGTCCCTGTCACATTGAGGGTGGATGTGGTGTTGGAAGAATACTAATTCGTGCCTTTCATGCTTATAACTAAAAGTTGGCAGTGGAGTAGGAGGAAATAGGGCCTACTAACTGAGGGTACAGAAATATGAAAATAATGGGCAGGTAACACTGAGCAAAATGTCTAAGAACACCAATTACTGTAATAAAGAAATAAGAATGGAGCAATTTTCTCAAAAAAAAAAAAAAAAGAGATGGACATCTTTTTGCTTTATTCTGGGTATTTAATGCTTTAAGTATGTGTACCATGGTTATTTCCAGTAATTATTTATGGAGGAAATAATTAGAACCCAGTACATATATTTTCTTCAACTACTGATAGTCATTAAGGTGGAATAGCCACTAATTAAAAACTATTTTTTTAAAAATCACCTAAGAATAAAAACAGAACTTCAGGAGAAAATGATTATTAACTTATGCAATACCTTTTAAAGAAATAAAAATTTTAACCAAAATTGAAAAGAAAAACAGGAATATGAATTAAAAGCAAATATGGTAACAAGTTTATATCCTTAATATATAAAGAACTTGAACAACAACAACAAAATTAAAACTTCAAGAGGTAAGTGGGGCAAAGACCATTATCCACAGAGGGACTAAAACTAGGTTAAATGTCTAACCTCACCATTAAAAGACCAATACATATTAAATATGTATTTATATGTATTGCATAAACAAAGAAACATCTTTGATTTTGAATACTAAATAATACAAAGATAAATCTCCTATCTTCAGTGTTCTTGTGGGTGCACTGAAATTGCTTATCTCATATCTATACTGGCAGAAAGTAATTGGTAGTAGCTATAAAATCATTCCTAAGCTTTGATCTATTCATCTCACTTTGGGTAATTTTATCTTAAAAATCCCAAATCACAAGAAAAAACTACGTACACAAAAAATGTTCATCATAATTTCACATATAATGGAAGAGCTGAAAAATAAACAATATATACAATCCAGGGTAATGATTTCATAGCCTCATAAATGTTGCACAACTATATAACAACAGGGAAATATGGATATGACATATTAAGTGAAAAGTCCAAGATAAAAATTATTTATGAACTATTATGGCAAGTTTTAAAAATAGATACATTTGAAAAAAGACAAAATTATAGTAGATTCCTATTATTTTAATAATATATTTTATTTTATGGATAATTTTTTAACTTTTATAAAAATATATAATATTTTATAAGTAATATGTAAATATATTAAAATATAACAATAAGTACTTTTAAAATTTACAAAGCCCTAATGAAAGTCAAATATGCATGTTCAATGCATGAACTATTATCAATTCTGAATGAGTGAAATATGAATTAATGAGATCTCTGTTTTGGGAAGTCTTTAAGTGGTACAGATGTCATAAAAGGTAACATGTATCAGGTCTCTACTATGTACTAGTTGATTAGATATTAGATATTTGTAGATTTTCTCTCATTTTCAGCACATCCCTGCAAAGTATTACTATCATTCACAGAATAGGAAATTTTTATTTTAAATAAATTAAAAACGTGCAGAACACCTTAGAATTTCAAGAAGCGAGAGCCAGGCCTTGAACTTAGGTCAGTTTCACTCCAAAATATAAACTCTTCTCCACCCACACTGGTCTTCTATATACAATACAGTAAGAATTATTCAATCCGTTCCAAATGCTCACCTCTCTTAACACTGATTTAAAATGTGATCTCCCTGTTTTCTGAGACCATGTTTTTCCAGAAGGCCCATACCGAATTTGATTCCTCTTGTTTATGACATCAGCTTTCAGCTTTGGGGGTTCCCCTTCCATAACAAATACCAGTTTTACATCCATTAGTGTTAAATGTGAGATACGAAAAAACAAGTTCCTGAAATACAAAAATTAGTCATATATTAATCCTCATATATTGATAGCAAAAGTCAACATAGCAGCATGACGTTGATGGCAAGAACATTAGACTAGTACCTAAAAGGTTATATGCAATAACATTTATTTTATTTTCACGGGACTGAGAAACTACTGAATGTTTTTTTTGTTTGTTTTTTGAATGTTTTTAAGCAAGGGAGATTTATGGTTATTTTAATTGCTATATGGACAGTGGTCTGGAGGAGGAGGATGAGGAAGAGAGGCTAAGGACTGCGGGAGGGAAGCCAGTGAAGTCATTCAGCAGACAGATGAGAGATGCTGTTGGCATACACTGAGATGGTCACGCCTCTGGACATGAAGTAACGTTTATGAACAAACACAAAGGTTTCTTTTGGAAGTAGAACTGGCAAGACTGCTGAGGAACTGGACATTGGGCCGGGTAAAGCAGGGAGAGAATGGCTCCCAAATTTCTGGTTTACAGTCATGGCAACATCCCAGTAGATATGTTAAATAGGCAACTACGCATGTGAGTCTGGAGTTCAGAAGGTAAGAGGTACAAATCTGTGAGTCATCAATACAGAGATGGCAGATCTAGACACATTAATATCTTTTAAAATCTCAAAACCAAGACATCAACTATTTATGTAATCATACATTTATATTCTAAGAACTTTACTGTACCTGAGGTGGGGCTTCGTGACAGTTCCAATCATTTTTTTGACTGTCTGTGATTCACATACCCAGAGGCTCAGATCAACTGCAATGGTTTTCCCACCAAGACTACTCAAGTGGATGTGTTGCTTAACGGGCTCCAAAATTTGCCACAAGTCACTCACTCCCATTCTGGTTATTATCTGCTGTTATTAGAAACACACTTTTCAAAAATTGTTAATAAACACAGAAGCTTAGAACTGGAATTCAAGCAATATATTATGACCTACATAAGAACAATTCATAAACAGAGGATTCTACTTATTTCTTTCACTCGTCAGCTTTTTGGAATCAACCAAGAATACCTAAGCCATTAAAAGTGGTGGTAAATGACATACTGGTTACAAAATGCTGATGCAACGAATGGATTATAAGTAATTTATATGTCACCAAATCTGGGTTTCTTTACATTACGTAAAAACAGTTATTTTTAAATTTAATATAACTCAAATATTAATGGTCGCCTTTGTCCTTCCTCATTCTTGCCTCTTCTTTTCTACATCCTCTTTAGCAGCAACTGTGAATAACATTTTTCACATGGTTACCTTAACATTGTATGAAATTTAGAAAATATTACCCCCCAAAACCTAATGATTGATGATAATTGGCTTTGTTCCAGCTAATAACAAGAACTAACAAATGCAAGACAGGTAGAAAAATAGAGGTGCTGTAAATCATATTTATCTTATTGAAAATTCATTCCTTGATTTTTCACACCAGCCTCTATCATGATCAGGAAAAAAAAAAACAAAAACATAAGCAAGGAACCATGCAAACAAAGCAAATACACCAAAGAAAAAAAATAAGGGGTTAATGAAGAAAAACACTGAAGACAGAAAATGGGAACTGGAGGAATATGGAATAATCTTTTCAAAGAGCACTGACGGGCTTTTTAATTACAAGGTCTCACGTGTTCATTGTGGAAAAATAAACAACTTTAAAAAACAAATTTTTAAATCACCCATACTTACATGATCGAAATAAAACTATTGTTAAACTCTTTTCTATGTCCACGAAATTCAAAAAACAAAATTGGCTTAAATTCTGCTATTGTAATAACCTCTTTGGTATTTTCTATAGGCCGGTTTTTCCTTATTAAACACCTATATCTGTTTTTCTTTCCTTTTGTTATTTGATAAAAATGTTATGCAGCATTTGCAACAATTCAGTATGACTATACATACATACATACATATAATCCAGATTATCATCCTCTCAATAATGAATTTCATTCCAAAAACACAAGGTTGGATAACAACAACAACAACAACAATTAAGTCAAAAGGCTATCTCCATGATGCAAAACCATCCTAAATAAAAATACTATACTGTCTGTTCCTTTAATCTAAGTATTATTTTATGCACTCATTTTTATGAAGAACTTGCACAAATATTTGCTGATATCTCAACGTACAAAGAAAAACATTCAGATTTGAATGCATAGAATTAGGTAGTTAATGGTGGCTCAGTGCTAACATTGCCTATTTCACAAGAAGCCCCACTGGTTAGAATGCACACTATAGCAAAGATTCAGAGTTAAGATTTCATCCCTTTGTTAATGTGAAAAATTGCACTTACTTCTGGAAAACAAGTGAGGCACATACATTTTCTAAGGCATTATTATGAACAGAAACAAGACAAATATTAACCATCAGAACACAAAAAAATTAAAAAAACAACAACAAAGTTTGAGGGGGAGTTCTTTTTAATAGTTTTGCTTTCCTTTTATTTTTGAAGCAAGCTGTTTACTGGAATGGCTTATTACTGAAGGAAATTACGCAATTCTTCTCTCCGGAGGACAATTATCATAACTGATCTTATTTTATTATATGTGACCCTGAGTCTAGCTGTCAAATTTTAAATGCCAGTATCTTCTGACTTACATAGCTCTCCAAGGAATTTATTTTAAGATGCACTTAGGTGTGTGCAGATGTATGTACAAAGATAGTCACTGTGGCATTTTTTTTTTTTATACTTACCCAAGGATGTTTTCACTGATTTTAAAGAAAGAATGGAGAGAGAAACACTGATCAGTTGCCTCCCACGTGTGCCTAACCAAGGATCGAACCGCCACCTAGATATGTGCCCTGACCAGCAATTGAACCCATGACCAACTGACTGAGCCACCTGATCAGGGCAACTGAAGCATCTTACCTAATAATAGATAAACATGTAAATTGACCATCCCTCCGCTATGCACATCAGCCAATCAGGAGAGTATGCAAATTAACCCAACAAAGATGGCAGTTAATTTGCATACATAGGCGCAAAGCAGCGGAGCCCAGCAAAGATGGAAGGCTCTGGGTTGGAGCCGCGAAGACAGAAGGCTCCAGGCCAGAGCGAAGGCCTGGGCCCCGGAAGAAAACCGGTGCCGGCAGCCAGGGGAAGGGAAGGCCTATTGCACGAATCTCTTCGTGCAACGGGCCTCTAGTATTTATAATAGTAAGACAGTGGGGAAAAACAAATGTCCATGAATAAACGATACATCTTTGATATATTCAAACAATGGAATAGATGGTGCAGCTAATAAAAATGGTATACATCTATACATACTGGCCCTGGCCGGGTAAAAGCAGTTGGTTTCTTCCCATATGTCAAGGTTGTGGGTTCGATCCCTGGCCAGGGCACATATAAGAATCAACTAATGAATGCATAAATAAGTGGAATAACAAATCGATATTTCTCTCTCCCTCTCTAAAATGGGAGGAAAAAAAATATATATGTATTGACCAAAAAGTCTCTTAAGTTTTAAAATGAAAACAGGTATAAAAGAGATTACATATTAGGAATGACTGGAGATGAGTGTTAAGAATTACTCTTCAAAGTATATTCCTTTGTTTTTTATTATATTAAACTAGAGACCCAGTGCACAAATTTGTGCATGGGTGGGGTCCTTCGGCCTGGCAAGCAATTGGCCAGCCGGGCGGGGTGGGAGGGTAGGAAGGGGCCCTGGGAAGTTGGCCGGCCGCTAGAGGTTGGCTGTGGGAGTGCACTGACCACCAGGGGGCAGCTCCTGTGTTGAGCATCTGCCCCCTGGTGGTCAGTGCATGCCATAGTTACCAGCTGGTTGGCTGGTCATAACGGAAGCTTAGGCTTTTATATGGATAGATAACCATATGCATGCACTACTTTTCAAATTAAAAAACTATTTAAAAAATGTGGTCTTATCTATAAAGGGTTAGAAACTAGAAATCTTTAGATGGGTTACTTCTTGCCTAAATATTATATGACCAAACAGAATATATTCATGGGTTGAATTAAAAAGCAATGTTCTGCAAATTTATGAGTACTGAACATCAAATATGACTTCAGTATAACTTTTTAAGGAGAGAATTACATTTTCTGGTTTCCTTCAGAATGCCTAGGAATAAATCATGTGATCTCAGACAATGCATATCTCTTCTGGCCCTTCCAGCCCTAAAGTTCAAGCCTTCCTATCATGACTCTAATGCTAGATTACACCAAATGACTACACATGTTATATTTCACTGGGGCAGCCATGCCTGGGAAAAAAATAAGCCCAGAACTAATTCTATAATGTATTAACATTTCCATAGGTTGGGTCCCTTAAGCAAGACAAAGAATGCTGTTTAACTGTGCTTTTAAGTAGACCCCAAATAATATGTTTAATGTAACATTAATTACACGTAAAACTTAATTATTCATATTACTTTAGTTTTTGTCAGAAATAAACCTGGTTTAAAGAATGAACATCCGTGGTTATGGTATAGAACTAGCACAGGTAATTGAACAGGTATCAGCCATGTCTACCTAAGATTTATTTTGGCTGTTCTTTTATAATACTAGGCTTGGCCTGTGCTCTCTTGCAATCTGGGACCCCTTGGGGGATGTCAGACTGCCGGTTTCAGCCCAATCCCCACGGGCCAAGATGAGGGACCTCACCATTGAATGAATCTGTGCACTGGGCCTCTAGTATGCATATAAGAGCTTTGGTTAATCTCTTCTCACCCTCCCCCTTACTGAATGGAACAGATTCATCAGTCTGTTCCATGTTTCCATGCTTGTGCGTTGAGTGTCTGCCCCCCTGGTGGTCAGTGTGCGTCATAGCTACTGGTCAAACGGTTGAACAGTCGCTTAGGCTTTTATATATATAGGTGAGCAAAAGACCTCAAATCTGTAACAATGGCTACTTAAACACAACTGGTATAAATGATGTAGGCAAAAAGAAAAAAGTCTATAACAGAATTATCTGTTAGTTCTCAGAAAGTAAAATTTGAGTTATTATCTCAGAACTAAAGTGTTCTCTTCTTCACTTTCCCTTAATTCAGTGACAGTGCTGGAAAAATGTCTTTCACTGCCAGTCCTTCTGGTCACTGTATGTTTAAATCTTCCTCAAAGCCTTTTAAACCACTCTAGTATCTTAACCTATAATTCCTATATATCTACCAAAATGGATTTGAAAAGCTGAGAACATCTTTTGTGCTCCCCAAGCACACTCCTATATAGTAATGCTCTATATTTCTTCATAAGCATGAAAGAATTGCTGCTACCCGCCCACATTCCTTCTTTGCTGACTCTGTCCCTCATTTTCCTCCTCTAAAGTCTAAATGATGGGAATCAAGGGGCCATTTTTATAGGAGCTAGTCTCTTTCTATGACATTCCTCAGTAAAAAATTTTTTTAATGACTTGCCATTCATGAATTTCTATTAGATCTTCTTAAATTACTGCAAGACCTTTTATAGCCTTTACAATTTTTAATCAGAACTAATGGATTAGAGTCATGCCAAGCAACAATACCTAAAGGATGGGGATAGACATGGGAACTGGAGAGTGAGCAGACTTACAGGAAGGATATTTTTAGAGTTGGATTACACTGAAAAAGACATTATTGCTGAGTCCCCCTTGAATATTCTACAATGAAGGAACTTTTCTTCACTCCCCACCTCTAATATAATGTATCCCACATCATCTCTCACCTCTGGACTAGAAGATTCAGTCCCTACTTTATCTTCACATGGATACATAATATGCATCTAACTCATGATTCCAACACCTCTCCTCAAACTGTTCTACCC